TTTGAGTTAGATGTGAATATACTTATATCCCCACATTTGGCCTACTGTGTGAAATTAAAAACATACGATATGATGCATAAAAACTATAAAATAATTCATCTATACAGTTAGAAATTGTTGCAAATTTATAAATCGGGAGGGTATACAATAGGGGTAAAAATTAGTGAGGGGCAAAAATAAATGAGAGGTTTATAAGTAAAATTTAGACCGAAACCAAGACAACACAAGATTAACTTCTGCATCCAACAACACTGTAACCCTTAACAATAAAAAAATAACCTTAGCTGGATTCATTCTTTATATTAAAATCATAAAAAATATATATATAAATAATAAATGTCATTTTTTCATATGCACTTGCAAGCAAAAGCAATATTTAATCCTTTCTTTCAAGCTCTTTAGGAACTGCAATAAATTCAAATAAGATCAGCTGATTTATGACAGCCACTGACTCCATTTATCAAAAACCCCCGAATGATTCACTTCAAAATATGACACAGACATTGTGTAAGGCCTTACAAGAAGTGTATGCAACCGACTGTTTATGTGTAATAACCTGGGTTAAAGAAATGGTTTAGCTATTAATTCCAAAAAAGTAAAAAAAAAAAAAAAAAAAAAATATCCACTGGACTTTGTTTCCAAGTTTTAAGACGTTTCTGGAGCAAAATGTCTTCAAACTTGGAAACAAATATCAGTGGGTTGTTTGTGTGTGTGAAACCAGACTGAGATATTACCCCGGCCCCAAATGTGGAAACTAAAAAAGCATGTTGCCATATAACAATAATAATAATAATAATGATGATGAATGTTAAAACTAAATGAATAATTAAGCCATAATTTCTTTAAATAAATAAAATCTGCCTACATAAATTAGGCCTAATTCCATTTTATTAATGTCTCCTCCCATATGGTTTAACAGTACGGGCAGTAGGCAGAAAAAGCTGAGCAACCCACGGTGTCCTCTGCTCCGTGGGCGCCAAAATCCATTGCTAGAGAGTTCCTCAGTGGATCTCAACTGCATGACCCGTCTTTATGGATACGGGGTGAGTAATCTCTCCAGTGATGTCACGTGGGAAGCTTAAGTAACGGGCGGTCAAAGCGCGCGCAGATTTGAGAACACTCAGCTCTGCCGGTGCACGTGAGCAGGACTGCCATGTGTGAGCAGAGACAAGCTGAAGCAGAGCAAGAGACAGCAGCTATTGGAATAAAATACTCAGCTGCACTCTAACTAGTTTCACTCTTTAACAACTATTCATCTCACCGCTTGTTTTACAGCAACTATCAGAAGCACAAAAACGTCCATATTTACAGAGCTTATCTATCTGAGCAGGGAAAGGGTTAAACTTGAATTCAACTTTATTACATAACACTCCATACCACAAACCTTGAACTGAACAGGAGGGGAATTAATGCATAGGAACACAGGATTCCAGGATTCCTTCCAGTCTATTATGAGACCAACAGGAAACATTTACCATATTATCTTCATCTATTGGTTGTTTTGTTTTAAAGCCTTCCTCTCCCATTTGAAGGCTCTATGGGCAATTGCAGGTTATTAAATCAAGAGGTCATTTATGCTGTTCATTTAAATGAAATAGTAAAAATGTGTGTTATGCAAACCTATTGAATCGTCTCATTATAGTCATCAAAATTGTTGCACCTATGCATAATTGTTTTACTTGATATGTTTTTTTGATGTACCTGTCATTTATTTTAATATATATATATATCTATATATATATATATATATATATATATAGATATATATATATATAGATATATATATATATATATATGTGTGTGTTTCTTATGTAACTTTGCTGCCTCTTGGCCAGGACTCCCTTGAAAAAGAGGTTTTTAATCACAATGGGATTTTTTCCCTGGTTAAATAAAGGTTAAATAAAAAGGTTGTGTTTTAAAAGCCAATGCACGGAGTGGATTTAAGACAAGATCCACAGCTCTCACCAGCCTCATGTTTAGCCACCTCTGAACTAGAGGAAAACCAGAAGCTTTGATCTTAGAGGAACGACCTGTTTTCAGTCGATCAAAAGTCCTTCAGATGGTTGAAAGTAAATTATTTTGAAATCAATATCCTGGAGGAAGAGCGGAGAGGCACAAACTCCACCTTTCTTAAGGGTCCAGTGCAAAGTTTCCCCATTCCATATTAGGTGAACCATTCTACTGGTATACTCACAAAAGTGAATACCGCCTTCAAATTTTAATAAACATATATATTTTTTTCTGAATACAACACTGAAAATGAACCTTTCATACAATGCAGGTTGTCAGTGTAGAGCTGTTCTCTAATAATACCTCAAGCCACAACAGTGGGTTAGGGCACAGTACACTCCTAGAAAATGTCCAAATTGTGCCCAATTGGCCATTTTCTCTGCCATCATTTTATGAGGAGATAATGCGCTGCATTCGGTATTAGATCAGTCTTGCACTTGACTACAATCAAGCACGGTGGTGGAAGTGTCAGTTAGGGACTGCAGTATTGCTGCTGAGAGAACAAAGAATGCCAGCATGTGTTGGGACATACAAGTCAAAATATATGCTCATGCAAAGCAGGTGTATAGCTGGATGGGGGGCCACGGCCACCATTAGAAACTCACTGGCCACCCCTGCAAGCTGATTTGTTGTTCCCATGTGGATGTGAATTAGCAGCTCCTGAACAAGTGGTTCCCATCTAAACCAGAGGGTGGCAGCAGAGGTAGTGATAGATAGCAGGGATAGAGATAAATAAACTAGAGATAAGAAATACAGAAGCCATGCTGTTTTCAGAACTTGGTCTTCAACATCCAGCGGTAACCTGTGCTGGAAAAGAATATGGCAACATAAACGACAGACATCGGAGAATTCTTTTGGACACCTTTACTTAGCGATACGCTCACTTTGGTTGCTTAAACATTACAGGCTGACTGTTAGCAGAGGAGGCTCTGCATACTGACCACTCTACATCCTATGAATGTGTCATATCTGAAGTGTTTTCCCATAAAATGATATAAAATCTTTGCAAAATGAGGTCTATACTTACTTAGACATTGTACAGTATCTGATGGTGTTTGTTGACTGTTTTTTCAAGTCAAGCCAGAACATGAATCTCCCAGATAATTACAGAATATTTATTAATTCCTACTAGGACAAACATTGTGGACATGCTCATTTCATTTTCCAATGGTAATCGGCACCTGCCCACTCCATCAAAACCACCATTGCATGCTTTAATGACTAGGGTATCACTTTTTGGATTCACCTGACCTAAACGCCACAGAAAAATAGACAAAAGAGAAACAACATTCATCTTTATACAAGGTGCATAGAGAAAGACCTGGTTTCAGGTTTCTTAGTCATAGGCTAATTGAAACCTTTGGCTTTGAGGCCTTTGTCATTGTGACCCTCAGCAGGAAGATAAATGTATTGCTATATTAATGTAACCTGTTTCTAAGTACGTTAAAGAGGATGATGGTCACTTGATCCAACAGCACTGATGAACTGCAGGCCGCTATTCAAGCAACCAATAGTTCATGATCACAGCAGAGCCACGGTCTGCAAACTTCACAATGGACTTCCTTGCCTCTTCACATGTAAAACAGGTTTGGTACATACTGTATGATGCTCTGAAGGCGCCCTCTTGTGGCAGTACTAGCTACTTTTCTGGCACACTAATTTCTTCTGAAAGTTTCAATACTGTACGAGTATTGACATATTGTTAATGAAAAATTATTCCTTGGATAATGTCTTCAAATAAATCCTTAACAGCATCTAAAGCATAGATCAGATTTTTTTGAAGGGAATATACATGGCGACAGCCAGGATGAGACAGATAAAACAAAGGTGAGAGATTTGCGACAAAATCTCTGTATGGTTAGATGTGCGGGCTTAAAGAGAAAGTCTTTAAAGCAGCTCTGAGGTCCTGTGACCGTTGTTCTATAGTTTATCAGACAGACATTGCAGATAGGAGAAAAAGGCTGTTTAGCAAGTTTTAAACCAACCAGGTTGAAATTCAAGTTCTTTCACAAATGCATCGTACTTGAAAAATCAGGTTTATAGTAGAATGCTTTTGGACTGATATGAAAGCAACTGGAAGCTTTGGTCAGACATGTTTGAATAAAACATGCACCACTGAAAATTCACTTGGTAATTAGTGATCCATGTGGGACACACAAAAAAGGTTTAAATATTTGAACAACCCTTCACTCCGATTTTCTAAAAATATTTCAACGCCCTCTAGGAATGTGCACCAGATCAATGTGTAGTTGTAGTGTAGATTGAATGGAAATCAGTGACCCACCTTTCACCAGATTCACGTGTCCATGCTAAAACTCATGGACAGAACTGAGGGAAGGCCTGGCTATGATTTAAGCCGGTTTTGTAGACTCCATGATGCGGATAACTGAATGTGAACCAGCATCTACAGGACAAAATTAAGTCTATGTAATCCTAACCCATGAAAAGACATACATGCTGCAGTGTGTAGATGGCAGTAGGTAGTTCACTCCGGAAAAATGGGCCAACTATCTGTTGCTTAATGAAGATATCACATTGGGAAGTTGCTAAAGACTTTCAGTAGTAGCAATTACTGTGAAATTATACCTTAAGCGTACCATCTGTCAAACTTGACTGAATCTATAATAGAAAGCAAAGTTCACGTTTGAATTTCATAGAAAATAGTTCCTATTAATAGGGATGTGGGATACTGTAAGAGTAAATGTATGTTTGCATGTGTATTCACTTAAAAAAGGTTTAATAAATCCAGAATAAAACCATTTTTAACCAATGGGGTTCTTTAATTGTAGGACCAATACACATAACAAAAGATCAACTATGTAAAACCTAACATGCAAACTGACTTCCGTTTACTACAGTTTCAAATAAATGCAACAATTTTGCTTCTTTAACAGGGATAACCAACCATTATCAATGCAGGAAAGTAGCAAACCGAAAACACAATCATAAGAGGGAAATAATTCACCTTTCCCCAATCTTTTTTTTTTTTCCTTTAGCACAGTGAAAATGACAAAAATGCTGACCCAAATTAATGGACATAAACTAAAGCTTAAAGAGATTAAATCTGGAATGCAGCGCGGGACACCTGTGTAATGACCATCACAAACGGTTTGAGTTGGTGGAACAGATGAGGCACTGTCCCTGCACACACCCACTCCATGTGTTTGAAGAAGGTCCCGACAAAAGAAAGGGAGGACACTAAAAGGCTTTAAAAAAAAATAAACAAAAAAACGATCACACGTCGATGCTGGAGTCCATCATATGAAATAGCAGAGCTCAACAAACGTCGGTCTGCTGCTCCCTTTAAACCTTACATGGTTTTCCTCTATCTTCTCTCAGTAGACCTGGAGCGGCTGTGGAAAAAGGAGAAATATCAAAGTGATGTAAACAAAAGATTGGGCCAAAACAAAAAAACTCTCAAAGCCATCAAAACATTTCCTATAGTGTGTATACATCTATAACCCTTTATCCATTCAAAATTTCAAAGCCAAACTTTAAGACTTGATTTATTTTTATTGGGATTTTAGAAAACGTCAACTAGGTCGTTTTGTAAATCACCCCTGTCATTATTGCTGCATGACTTGTAGGTGTGTCTTCAACTTCACAGTAAAGTAAATTGTTACGAGTTTTATGAATTTCTATAATACTGAAAAATAGATGTGGCCAGGAGGCAGATGCGTGTGCCTCCATACAGAAATGTTCAGACCAATGACATGCATAGACGTGTATGACATCAACCAGACACGGAAGGCTAGAGCAAAACAAACACGACTGCCCCCATATTAGGTGGAACACCCTCCTGTATTAAGCTCCATCTAAGTCCTCATTCATGCTGCCTTCCCACTGCATAATGCTGCCACCACCATGTGTCACTGAGTAGTGTGGCCACACTTGTGAGTGCTGTTCATTTTCCAACCGACCACTTTTTTCATAGAGGCCAAAAGTGCACCTTTTGTCTCTTCCACATGTTTGGAGTTTCATAAATGGCCTGTGGCAAAATTAAACCGCAACACAAGAAAGTAAAGCAACATGCAAAAGGCAAAGGCTCAAATGGTTCAGGGTACAGCCAATGGGTTCTTATTCAGATTACCCCGAGAGGCACTATTGGCTTCTGGTAACCAGGACAATACGATAAATGCTGAATTTACCAAGGGCTACCAGAGTTAAGGAAACTACATGCAAAAGATTTCAAGTTTTTTCCTAAAAGGGTAACCATGCACCATGCAATTCTGCTTAACTTTGCTTCATTTAATTGCACAACTTACACCGAGTTGTTAATCTAAAGTGACAATATGTGAAAAGGCTTAAGGGATATAGATATTTTGCTAAGCACCAAGAATCAGATATAACACTGGCTACTCACTCTTAAAACAGTCAAAAAAAACATGTTACTTTCTGAACAATAAAAAAGGAGATTAAGATATTGACACCTACCTTCTCGAACGAGAGAAGGACCTGGAAGGCTTATGGTTCCTTTCCCGGGAGGCGGACCTCTCTCTCCTCCTGTCTCTTGACAAAGACCTGAAAAATAAAACGGGACAGTTGGGGAAAAAAGCAAGGCACTATTACTATTGCTTTACTCTGATCCAACTCTGGCTGGTAGCTGGCTTTGTTGAACTTATCCTGAGTCTGTGGTAGATTTGATCTGCGAACTGACTCGAGGAGAGCGTTAGATATATTGAGTTCTTTCTGAAGGAGGCTGTAGATGTTGCTCCATGTAATTAAAAGCATTTCATAGTTTTTTTGAAGGTGCTACCTCTTCCTCCACGGTCAGTCTATCTCAAAGTACATGTCACTCCTATCACATGAGGACAAATCTTTTGTCCTGCACTTCATTTCAATGTCAATAAATAATGTCATATATATATAGCATATAAAGGCTATGCTACATTAGTATTACTTTAATTCTCTGTCAAATCCCACCGATACATTTGGCATGTCATGTCATTATTTTGCAGCAGCAACAGCATTAAATGTTGTGGTAAATATGCTTAAATAATCTCCAAATGTCACTGTAAAAATGTCAACACTAGCTGGCGATAACCTGCACCTCATGGGTTCCTATATAGCTGTGCTAATGCCCATATCTTGGCTGATTTGAATCAAAGTAAATTTACAAGCTCTTATTAACTTTTCTGAAACAAAACAAACAAAATCAGGATATTTGATCTCTACTCATTAAATGCTCAGCCCTCCTTCATAACCCTGGTCTCACTGCTTTGGAAATGGCAGATGTATATAACGGTGCAGTTGTTTTGTTTATAGTTAGAAACGAAATACTGAGTGAAAGGATGGCTCTGGCCTATACGCAAATGCAACCTGACAAAATACAGCTGACAAAATACAAGCGTTACAAACCTGCTTCGGCTGCGGCTGAAGCTTCGCCTGCGTGGGGATCTGTGCAAGAAACATACAAGAGTTAAAAACAAGAACAAACAGACTGTGTACCTGCCGACCTGTAAGTTATTATACTCCTATTGCCTCATTACTGCTCTTTTTTTTCCCTTCTCTATTTCAGTAAATTAAAGGGGAAGCAATTAAAGTCACTGGCAACAAACCAAGCACATAAAGATGGCAGACACCCCCAATCCTACAGTATAAAGTATTTTAAGTCTGAATGACAATTCTACTCCAGTTTGTAATGTGTGCTTATGAATAAAAAAAAATGCACGTATATGTTGATAAAAGTGGAGATACCGCTTAAAAAAAACCCCCATGAAACAGCCTATGTGGGGGAAACTGAAACCTACAGGGGGGCTACCATCTGTATGAAACTGGTCCACTGCACTTAAAAGTGGCGCCATGACAAATTAAGGCTGACAAAGCCATATCCATCAGAAACAACCAGCTAACACCCCAATGAACCAACAGATAGGGTAATCATTAGGGAGTGGGTGTTTAATTCTGTGACAAAAAAAAAAAAATCTTTCCTTATATCCCTAAAAACAAGTGAAGGTATATCAAACCTCTGAAAACATGAATTTCCAGAAATTTGATATCGTACCACACCCTCTTGGAAAAAGTAAAGGACTTTAATAGTTGTGGACAACATAAAGCTATGAATGAGAAATAAAAGGAAAGAAAAAAGAATAACCTCTTCAACCAGCTGTGTCTTCACTGTTAAAACTGTAATCTGCAGTGTACTGAATGAAGCAGGAAAACTTACTAGTATTTTTGGATTTCAACAAGCTAGAAATGACGAAAGGGAGGCAGACTGTCGGCCGGGTAGGTAGGCAGAATTGGCTGAATGAGACTGGCCAGATGCTGCAAGGTGATAAGTTGGCAGGCAGATGGGGGCTGGTTGTGGCTTTATTCCTGCTTTAATTGGTAAGCTGCAGGCTGATGCTGGTGGAGTGTAGACTTTTGGAAACATAATACGCCGATTGGTCGGGAATGTGAGGTAGGCCGCTGCCGTTTGGTTAAAGGTTGAAGGAGGAGGAGGCTGAGAACGGCATGCTGAGGAACCAATGGGCTGGTGCAACCTGACGACTGGCCATGCCTGGGTCATGTGACAGCACCAGCCAAGCTGATTGGGCACGATGGTCAGCAGTCACATGATGCTGAAAGAGGACTAGTTGACTGACTCAGAGGGTGGTGAGAAGAGGCATGGTGGTGGCTCTGCAACGGGTTTCATTCTTATTAATATAGATGAAAAGTAAAAAACATCCTCAAATAAAAAGAAAAAAAAAATAACACATTTGCCACTTTCACCCCCCCACCTAAAAACAGGTTATACCTTGTTCTTTCTGCAGAAAAAGTACTTAAACCTGTTTCAAATACCTATTTTGCCACACTTAAGAAGCAAAAGGTATGAATGTACACAACAAAAGGCATCAACGCCTGAAGCAGAACTGAATGCCTTGCATGCCTTATTAATGAGGATTTTTGTAGTAGAAAAAGATGGAAGGTTCTGCTAATATTCTAATTAATTTGTTTGATATTTTAGCAATTCGATTCAAATGACTAATATAAATAAGAATGTTAGAAAGAGCAACAGCCATCATTGTAAGATCAGCAAAGGAGAAAAAAAAAGCTACAAAAGTCTAGAATGGAAAACCACCTATCAGGAAAAATACTGTAAATAAGAGAAATCAAAAAGTAAATGGCAGAGAAAGAGGAACATGAAAGAAAAACAATAATCAATCGATTTATAGGTTACCTCCGCCTAGGCGGTGGGCTTCGACGTCTGTAGTCGTCTCGATCTCGAACGCGTCTGCCCCATGAGGGTGGAGCACCACGACTACGGCTGCGCTTCTCACCATTGGACAGCTCTACTCGAACCCGGCAACCGCAAAGCGTCCTACGAAGCAATCAGTGGTGGGTTATGGTATGTATATACTCTATAATAGCACTCCTTAGTACACACACTGTGACCTACCTTCCATCAAGCTCACGCACAGCATCAGTCGCATCTCTGGGGTCTTCAAATTCAACAAAAGCAAAACCTGGGGGGTTCCTGGCCACCCAGACACTTCGCAGGGGGCCGTAGTAGCCAAAAGCCCGCTCTAACTCTGTCTTGTTTCCATTATTACCCAGATTTCCAACGTAAACCTTACAGTCAAGAGGACAATCCCGATGCATGACTGGATCTGAAATCAAAGAAAATGTGTTATAAAAAAACACCAGTGACTAAAACTCATAGCACAAAAACATAATTGTTATATGGCCAATTGACAAAAAAAACAACCTACAAAACTATGTGATAATGCTACATTTCAGTGGTAATCACAATTATTGTTGGTACCAAAAAAACATAAAACCAAAATTTGACATAAACATCACCCATGTGTTTAGTAATGCAAAACATTTATAATACCAGGGTTGCCTAGATTAGATAAAACTCGGCCTTTCAACATGGCGGAGAGCAGCGAAAAGATTCGCTACGGTGAATGCTGCTCTCATTTTCAGCCTTCACGTGCTGTGACATATATTATATAGGACTGAAACAATCGGACTAAAAGTGATTAATCAATTATTGAAATGGTCATCAACTCTTTCAGGAATCGATTAATCAAGACTCTAAAACATGCCTTTAGCTGACAGAGCAACTCAATTAGGGCAGTAATTATACCAAAGACCATAAACAATTCGCATTTAGGATAGAAAAAAAAACTCTTTCGTTTGTCAATATATGTATCCAGAACTCAAGTGGAAAAGTTTTAGTTTCACCTGGTTTAATTTAGTAAAAATCGTCTTTAAAAGGAGCATTTTGTTATCTGACAATTAATAGAAAAAAATGATCAACAGATTAATCAATCTGCAAAATAATCATTAGTTGCAGTCCTGATTTTATACAAAAATATATCACCAAATTAAACTTAGTTCATTTTTTTATTTTATCAAATGCTATCATCAAGCAGTCAGCCAATGCATTTGATAAATCCTCTTCTTCCTGTCTTGGATCATCTTTGGATCCAACATGTTTCTGTTCTCTACTACAAGAACAGCACTTAAACACGATGCGCTGGTAATACAGGACGATCTTCATCATAATCCCACCTGGATTATCGAATAGAAAGCCTACTACATAATAACATTTTTAGTTACCAAATACGGTTTTAATACACTGCTAATCGCAATGTCCCTCGTTTTAAAATTTAAAATACAAGTACTACATCTGAAAAAAATAAAAAATCCCACTATCACTATTTTGTAAAACGTTTTAAACCCCTGAGAGCATGACCCAGTTTTCTACCTGGATTACGGTTAATGTTATCTTCAGCTGGGTAACTAATAATGTACCTAAACCCCACACGGATTAATCCTTAAATAACATTCAGTTAAATTAGCTCACAAACTCGACAAAAACGTCGCAGGTAAGAGTGAAAAACACGATGCAGACTGAATGGTGAATGTGTTGGGAACATTAGCTAAAATGGCGTTTTTCTGAGGCCTACTCGTAGATGCGGCGCTATCAGCCCCAAAAACCGAACAATAAAAATACACACAGCTAACCTACGAGGCACACTATAACCGAAGTGATACATAGGATGTTACTTTTCATTATTCAGAAATACAATTAAACTGAAACCTTACCTTATTTAACGCAGCTCGCAGTTTAAACTATGGCAACTCTACAGCAGACGTGCTTCTCTCTGTCGTCGATGGAAAATGGCGTTCGGGTGCAGAGTACGCCTGCGTGAAGATTAGCCGCCAGGATGTAGTATCCCGGAAGGGCGGGTTTATGGCGTTACATTTCCTTCTTTCATCTATACATTCTCAAAGAAAATATCTAAAGCCAATTATATAGTTTCATTTTCGAAATACTAATGTCAACAATAAAATTTTAAACATACAGTTCTAGGTTTTCTTCGATACATTAGAGGGATTTACAAAATGCAATACCACGTTTGGCCACAAGGTACAGACGAACGGTTATGTGGCGCTGTTTCACAATGTTCGCTCTTGAATTTGATCAGTTGAATCAACAGACTGTTGCTCAAATGCGTCCGGCTATCAAATGTTAAAATGTTCCTCTGTGGGGGATATTTGTAAACTAGAATATCTATGTCATAGAACTGAATGAACTCATTTTGCTGTCTGCAAAGGCTAAGTAGGGGGACTATAGCATAGATATCCATAATAAAGGATATCTATGCTAAAGCCTTTATTATGGATATCTATGGACTATAGTATATTTCTCTTCCTCATACAGGAAAAAGCATCCACTACAGTTTATTGGAGGAGAAAAAAAAATACTTGCATACTTTGTACTTTTTGTTGTTATTTCCTTCTCTTTTTTTCTTTCTTCTTCTTTTTTTGTCAATAAAAAGGTTTCCTTTAGGTTTTGGTTTTCATTGCAAAACACAGATGGAATCACTCTATAGATCTCAGGAATTGGTCTAGGAAGTTCTTGTCTTAACATAAGTACCCCTCTCAGTCAAAGGTAATGATGATTGACAAAAGTGGAACATACAATAAATGAAATAAAGACTATTTTACTTTATATTTTATTTACTTGTTTGCAATCAACAGCTCCACCATTGAAACTGATCTGATGTGTGATATACTGAGTCCTGTTATCCACAGAGATATTGGGATGACTGCAAACACTCCTCTGGTCCTAAATGTTCACAGAACAAAGGAGATGATTATAGATTTCACAAGTAACATGTGGGTCAACAGTGGTGTCAGATTCAGGAGTTTGTCCTGCAACTGGACACTGTAATTCCGCTCAGGAGGGACATTTCATCCGCATTGCCTACTGATGGTGGTCAGAGGGCTTCACAAAACAATTCTTCATAAAATTAAGAACAATATGGACAACTATGAGCATCTCATTTAAAAGACTTTAAAACACCAACTGTACTTTCAACTGCTGCAAGACAGTATGCTACAGAAGAAAAACGAAAAGAAAAACAACAGAAAAAGTGTCATCAGTTCCAAAGTACATGGTCTTGTTGTGTTTACTTTCTCTTAGCTTTTTGTTTTTCTGTATTCAAATCAGTTGCCAAATCATTTGTAGATTTGCATGGTGTTCTTTATAGTTTTAACTTTTTCTTTCAGTATTTATATTCTGTTTGGATTCAGATAATCTTTAGGTACCGTCTAAAGTTATCATTTCATTCTATTTTTGTTATTATTAACTGTACTAGAAACTGACTACAGCACCCTGATTGCACCAGGGAGTGTTATCACAGATCCTTCCTCCCTGCTGTAAGATTCTATAACCACCACTGTTCCCAACAATAAGTTGATAGATTAATGCTGAGTTTTCTACAATTTTCTATCATAGTCGTTTAAATAACCTGCTGCTGTTATTTTGCCTCTCTGATGTTGCTGCTATTTTCAAATATCCATTACAGTAAAAATATACACAACTGTATATTGGTTATTTATTCTCCAGGTGCACAATTTTTATATTGTTAAAACATTTTAAGGTATAGTATTTCATTTGTTTATTTTTTAACTCTTCAGTATTATGTTATTTTTATACACGCTTATAAGGTCCACACCTTTACTATAATCTTCATCTGCTGTGTAACACCAGAATTTCCCAATTGTGAGACAATAAAGGAATTTTCTATTCTCTTTTCTATTCTATTAATAGTAATATTATCGATATTACCATCATCACTTTTTTGTAAACAATAGTGTGACATTTTGCCTCAATTTCCTTGATAGGCCTTGACTGACAGGCTAGTAAAAATTAAGAAACACAACTATAAGTAGAGAATAGTCACATATAAAACAAAAAAGAACATGTATAAGACAAAAATAAAAATAAAAATCACCTACAAAAGTGAGAAAACAGAAATATTATGTTGGTGACATACAATTGATTACAGTGACCCTTTAAAACTGATTTAATGACACAATATGTGGAAGTCCTAATGGTCAGTGATAAATGTAGGAAAAATCAATAGAAACTTTGTGTTAGAGAGTGTAATGCAGGATGAGTTAAAAAGTTTGAATTGCTGTGCTTTTTGTTGCAGTTATCACAAATGCCTTTTACTTTGATTTTTGTAAATTCTCTAAAAAATCTTGAAAGTAGAGTCTTCAAAAAACAAAGAACAAAAGAACTCCTTTATTTTTAAAAAGGACATTAACTTGCTAATAAAGGCCCTTCCAGAGCTATGTGGAGTTTTTAAAGCAAATGTTGAAAGTACCCTCTTCACCATTGATGCCCACACCTACAGTACATTCAGACTGGAAGTCAGAATTCAAGTCTGACTTCCAACTGTCTGTGTGACTCTCAGACTGTTATCTCAGCTTATACAAAAAACAAAAAACAACAAAAAAAAAACAGTAGAAATGCATTATTTTCTCTACATATCTTGCTCTCTCTCTCTCTCTTATATGTGACATTTCCATGCTCTTTAATGCTATAAATGATTTGTTATAACCTGTCTCTAATTATATAAAGCAAACAAACTGTCAATAGAATATAAGTCATTAATATTTTTTTATTGTTTATATGTATTACTATGCATGGATGGTTCCCGACGGGGCCTATTGGGGCTGGTGCTGCCTGCAGAACAGGCCCTTACCCCTGAAAACATTCTCTGCAAAAATTAAAATATAAGTAAATCTTTTTTTTTTTTTTTTCGAATTAAGGGTATTTTCCCTTTATTTGAGCAGGCAGGAAAGACAATGAAACAAGATGATGTATGTTTAGGATAAAAAAAATAATCCATAAAATTACTTTACATGAATTATATCTAATTATCATACCATAGGGTTGAAAAGTTCTATTCTCTTTGTCAGATCATCATTCATAACTGCTTTTTTATTTTACTTATCTGGATCAGTTTTGCAGTGTGATACTAAATCAGGCATGTTCAACACAAAGAGCAAGCTGACAGTAATTTCTTTTCTGGAGTTTTTCCACAATCTGTTGATAGTGGTGATACTTGTGAGCTAAATCACAGGATGTTTACAATACATTACATAGCAGCTCCTCGCCAGCAGGAGCTGATGCTTGCTCACCATGTTTTCCTCTGGATAGTTCCAAATTTTTTCTAGTTGAACCATGTGGATATTTTGTCCACCCCGATTCTGCACGGAGGAGAGTGGAAGCCTAAAATTACATAATATGGCTGCACGGACTTCACGGACATGTCAAGCATAAACCAAGCTTTAAGCTCCAGTTATGTCAAGACAGGATCACATTTTTTATCTGTTAGATCAGGGGTCTGCAACCTTGGCTTTGTGGCTTACTTAATATACTGAACAATGTACCATTTCCTTCATTTTTAGTGTGTTTTCTTTTCTTCAGTGCTACTATGCCTTATGGTGGTATGCTAATTATCAAAAGGAGATTGAAATGTTACGGAACAGGATTAGGGCCATTAAGAACATTTAAAATAATTAACTGATTTTTCCTTTGTATTTTGGTATATTATGAGAAAAAAAGTCAGAATTCTAACTTTTTTCTCAGAATTCTAAATTTAAACTCAGAATTCGGACTGAATTCTGACAGGTTACAAACATGTTAGCAGAATAGCTCTCTTGTTTTAATGACCTTCTGCTCTTCCATTAATGAAATTGTCAGAATTCTGACTTTTTTCTCAGAATTTTGACTTTAATCTGGAAAATTCTGACTTTTTTCCCATATTAAACTGAAATAAAATTTAAAAATCTGTTAACTTTCTTTTATTTTTTTCAGTGGCCCTAATCTCCTTCGATAAAATGTAAAACTTTTTGTGCGGAGTTCTTAGCTTGATCTCGATTATGGGAAAAGCAGAACCATATAAATTACACATAAAAAAGGAAAATGTAAGTCTCTATGTTTATTACAAATTAATTTAAGGTGAAGGGCGTATGAAACATATTTGTGAAGTGAAATGTACGGTCAAATAAAAACAAAGCATAGCAAAACACTTAAACGGACCGATTTCATTGTATATTTCCATTTCCCCAGCTACTCTGAACGCATCATTACGCATGCCACGCCCCCCGCTGTCTGTTATGGACCGCCCACAAAGTTTCTCAGCCAGGTGACAGTTGAGTCGGAAAGGAAGCAGCTCGAACACTGCCTGCGCAACCAACTGACTACACTCAGATATTTACTCTAAACCAAAGTCAAAAGCAGCTTTTCAGCTTTTGATATAGTGAACTTATTTTTCCCCACAAAAGCTCGTAAACCAAAAACATCCATTTGCTTCCTCTTTTGAACATTGACCGGCTGGTAGCCTGGGACATTTAAAGGCAGCTCGCGTCATTACTTCAATAGTTGTTGAATTCTAACTAGGTAGGATTTCCCTGCCGCCGCCAACATGTCAGAGACAGCCGGGGAGGCGAAGCCCGAGGTGAAGCAGGCGAGCAAAGAAGTGAAGGAGAGCGAAAATGTCGCGGAGAAATATTCAGCCATGACCGTCAGTAAGAACAGTGACATTAACATGGGAGAGCTGGCGTCTGTCTTCAGCGCTGTACCCACTCACAAACCAGTGAAAAAGGTAAGGCTTCTTTCGCTACGGTAGCGGACAGCTTCTACGGAGACTATCAGCTGTTATCTAACTGTTTATGACTGCTTATTGGCTGTTGCATTACATTAATATTCACTTTCTCCTAGTTGAAGGCTAAATGTACGTATCATCCAGACCCTTAGTAGGAAAAAGGAAGATACATATACATCTGGATTTTTTTTTTTATATGTCTTGTAATAAACGATCATGCTTCTTGAGCTGTTTCATATTTGTATCAAATGTGGAGAAATCCAAAGTATTGCATAAGGCCGATGGAGGAAGGCCAGCTTTCAAGATCTAGAGACTGTTTTTTTTTTTGGTCTTATGTAAACAAACAGACAGATTAGTTTAGAATATCTAATTTTAAGTGTTTAAAAAAATAAATCTTCAACAAACTGTGATGTCTCCAAGCATTCCTGCATTATTATACTACCACCCCCATGTTTCTTCATGGGGATGGTGTGTTCAGGTTGACCTGCAGGTGCTTTTAATGACATGCTTTGTTCTGTTCAGAGAAGAACAAGAGCAGTTTTCTGTCTCGACTCACCAGACTACCTATTTATCTCATGATGCTTGTGTCCCCTACATGGCTTTTGATGACCTCTAATGATCTTCTGGACAGATTATTGGAATCCATTACTCATAGCAGACGTTTAAATACATTGCTCCATCTGAGAGACACAATGCTCCTCTGTCTGCATCTCTCCTTGCAGTCTGTTCCACTGGATTTTGGCCACAGTATAGTGGTCTGAAAACAAATGATTGTCACAGTTTTTAACATTATCAGTTGCATACCACTTCACGCCATGATGTCATAATTAATTTTGCAACACACCACTAACAATTCATTTAAGAACTTGAAGATTTAAGGCAAAATATTTTCCACTTACATCCAGAAGTTTAGATGGTAGATCACAAGGAATAATTCTTGGTTTATGTCTCCTTGCTGTTTTAATATTTTTACTAAATAAACTACCAAAACTAGCCTTTATTTCTTGGTTACTGTAACAACGGGCCTGCTTGTTCTTTGTTAGACTTCCCTAAAGTCAGATGTTACCTGACACTTTTAAGGAACAAGGAAGAGTCTTAACCTAAAAGAGACTTTACAAAAATCAGACTGAGCTGTTAAAGAAGCAGCAGATTTTTGAAGATATGCTAACATAAAGCTGGTGTATCTCAAGGGAAAATACTTGGTTAAATCAAAGGTCTGAAATGTTTTACTTCTACGTCTTGCTGTCTTGTTTATATTTCATAGTCTCACATCCACTTTTCTTTTAAGGAGTTCATTTATACTGAGGCAAAGACTGAATTTCTTTAGCATTAGTTTGTTGAGAGTGTTTGACTTTTTTTAAAGGAAGTGTTCCTTTAAAAAATAATGTAGGTCACAGTTTGCTCAATCATCAGATTTGATAGGAGCAGAACTTTGCAACTGTTTCCAAGAACAAACGACTCGGTTTTCATCAGTCATGAGATACAGATTAGCTTTATCCCATTTTCAGGATGATGATTTCTCCCTTCTCTAGTGCTGTAGAAGACAAAACAAAGAGTAGATCAGAGGGAAGTGTTTGCAGCTTCTCTTAGTTATAACTTAAGACATGCAGCTAGATTACACTGGTTTGGCTTTTGGAGTATATAACTTTAAGTACTCAGTCATGTATGACCTTGGATTCTTAAGATATCATAATTTTTATCTGGGTGGATATGTGGTTATTTTTGTCACTATGATTTAAAAAGGAAATAGCCTAACTTTGTTTTTGCTTTTTGTCTTGTTTTTCAGTCTTATTGTTGATGGGTTTAATTATCAGCCTTTAACCTTGTCAATAACTATGGGGAGCACAAATTTACAGATTCTCACTATTTTGAATAAACATAAATACTTATTTATTTGCAAGTCGTTGTAAAAGTATTTGTTCCTATTCAAGTTTTCCACCAACAATAAATATCCACAAATATCATTGTCTTAGTATGTATTCTTTAATAATATTCTATGAAAAGTACATTTTTAAAAACGTAACTTTTTTTTGAGAAATGTGGCATATAACTTTTAATCATTTGCAAGTCTCTTTATGATTGTTGCACACCTTAAGACTTAAGACATTTTCATCCCTTCTTATTAAAGAAGAAAAAACTAAAGCTCGGTCATATTGCATGCATAGCATCTCTAAAAATCAGTTTTCTAGTCTCGCCATGAGACTTTTCAGGATTACATATTGGCTTGGCCATTCTAAGATCTGAATATGCTTTAAACTAAACTGCTGCATTTAAGCTCCCTGCTTAATGTTTTCTTGCTGGAAGGTGAACCTTTTCTCCAAATGGTTTTCCGCCTGACAAGTTTTTTCTCCAGGAAAGTATTAGTTATTTAGCTCCCTCTTGGGATCGTATTATGTTATTTAAACCGTCTGTACATTTTGTTCTAATTTAATCAGCTCTTTTTTTATATTTTGATAAGTTATGTTGTTTATGGTGCCTTTGTGCCATGATGCAGCCATTGTTTCTAACATAGCACCAATGTAATCTGTGAGCAACTTTCCTGGCTCTGCTAAAGATCAGTAATTTTTGGCTGATAAATCTGTGCAGCCCTTCTTTTTTTGGTCTGCTATTTGTCACAATCCAGGAGTTTAAATCATTAGTGTCCAAACATAAATCGGTTTGAGATATCTAAATGAAATTTGCAAAGGCACTTTAGGCATCTAGTTTATGCTGTAGAACAGAGTTACTAACTATAACAGAGTAATGATGTGGCAAGAAGTAGATAGCAATATAACTTTGGTAAAACTACTGGATTCTGTGCCCTCAAAAAACCCTTTTGCTTTTGTCTGTGTTTTTCTTTGATTTTATGTTTTTGTCATATGATGCAACTTTAAACTAATGAATATGTTTGTCTTTTTTGTTTTTCTCTAGCAAATTCAGTTTGTTGAAGAAAAGCAGGAGTTCAGCCGGTTCCCCACGAAAACAGGCCGTCGCTCACTGTCCCGCTCCATCTCTCAGTCCTCCACCGACAGCTACAGCTCTGGTGAGAGTTGCCTTTCTGAACATTTCAAATGTGTTTACACTATCAGGTTTTAATGGCCATTGTTATTTACATAATCTTTTATTCCAGCTGCATCCTACACTGATAGCTCAGATGACGAGACCTCGCCTCGGGACAAAACACAAATCAATTCCAAGGGCAGCAGTGACTTCTGCGTGAAAAACATCAAGCAGGCTGAATTTGGCAGACGTGAGATTGAGATAGCAGAGCAAGGTAATGCATGACACCCTCAGAGTAGACTGACTGGTTCACTATTAGCCGACTCATCAAAAAGTCAGACAGAAAATCTGTTTTGATGTTTTTTCTTTTTGAAACCATGGTGGTGGTACATATTTCCCTGTACTTTTTGGTCAGGATTATTTAGATAAATAGAGAACAAACCCACCGCTTTTTGACAATTTAATAAACAAGTTTTTAAACTGAAAGTATTTAGTTGATAAATGTCATAAGGAAAAAAAAAAAGGATTGAAGAGTTAGGTGAAAGAGTGCTTTTATTTAGCCATACACACACTATCCACTTTATAAGAGACCCCTGTTTATTACTTGTACTCCTTTCATAGTGGCCAAAAAACCTGTTTAAGCCTGGGAACAACTGGCTTTTAGTGGCAGTGGAAACAGCTCACTGACGTCTGTCTGCTCGGGTCAAAAAACCCGGCAAGGGACCTGCCTTAAAATCGCCTCGGCTCTGATCAACTTGTTAATGAAACATCAGAGCCAGTTTCACACGCAAATTAACATGATACCATTGAACAAAACGTACAGACTTCAACACACTGTGCCAGTCGCTTCTGATATAACAAGTTGAAGCAACCCTGTTTACATTCAATAAACATGGTGCAGCACTGGTGGGATTCGGACAGATAATAGAGTGAAACAATAAAGCACACTATCTAGGCTCTGGCTTCCTTACATGTTTCTCTCCATTGTTTACTTTCCTGATTTCTGTCACACTAGTGACATCATCAACGCTAGCCCAGTGTGGTGGTGTCACGAGACACTGCGGTGGTACAGAGGCTAGCTTGTCAACGAAGGGTTAGAAACAACTTTTTTTTGCCAGTGGGAAGGGAGCTAAGTGCGATTGTTAGTGGGTATACCACTAACAATTGGAAAACTCGGCTTAACATGTTATTTTCAGTGAGAAAGCGGCTTTTTTAACAAAAGAGCAGGCCAACATTTGGTGAATACAGTCAGACCTGGTAAAAAGTACTTTATACATTAAAAATAGATCAGAATAAAAACAAAAGCAAATAGGTGACCAAGAAATTGGTAATGTTGATGGTACAAGATGGATGTTCTGAATTACTCAGTCTCAATTTCAGCTGCTAAATTTAGATGGAAAGATGATAATTTGGTGTAAACATGAAAGCATAGAGCCTTGTGTCAACAGTGGAGTCTGCTAATGGTGGTGGTTTAATGTTGTGGAAGATATTTTCTTGACACTCTCTGGGCCTCTTGGTATCCGTGGAGCATACACTTTCCAGAGTATTGTTGACCATTCCCATCCATTAAGGACTGCAATGATCCAATCCTCTGACCACTCTTTTCAGCAGCGTAATACACTATGTAACAAAGCTCAAATCCTTTTAATTAAACTGGTTTCTTGGACATGGTGTAGAGTCACCAAATCTCCATCCACCAGAGGGATGTGGAAGACCTACAGCAGGAATGTTCTGCAGGCAAATTAGCCCATGCTATATCACTACTAAGTAAAATATCACTGAGAATTTTTATTTGTGTTGTAAAGGTGCTCCCAAGAATTAAAGACATTCTGAAAGTTAAAGGGTTTTCAACCCCATATGGGGTGACCCACTAAATCTGTGGTGAGCATTTTGTCAGAGTCGATGTAGAATTAGCCGTCTCTCTGAGTGATTTTGTGATTTAGAGAGAGACGGAGTGCTGTCAGTTTTTGTGCATCATCTGTGCTCCTGTTTCTCCCACTCACTATTTGTTATGTTGTTCAGATATGTCGGCGCTCATCTCACTCAGGAAGAGAGCACAGAGTGAAAAACCTTTAGCGGGTGCCAAAGTCGTGGGCTGCACTCACATAACTGCTCAGACTGCAGTAAGATCTCTTCTTCTCTGATATTAAAGTTTAATAGCTCAGGAGTGGCTGCAGTCTGTACTGAGGCTTGGCTACATAATATATATTAAATGAAAACAGTGTCTCATGTTCTCATTGCCTGCCTGCTATTCTGGCTTTTATCAGGTGCTGATTGAGACTCTGGTGGCTCTTGGGGCTCAGTGCCGTTGGACTGCTTGTAATATATATTCAACGCAGAATGAAGTTGCTGCTGCTCTTGCAGAGAAAGGTAAGCAGCAGAGATGGTGGAAAAACAGCTCCCTTTAAAGCCTTGTTGAGCTGCCTAACACATAATCTTATAAATATTAATTATTAACCTAATTTTTTTTATGGCGTTGTGTAAAATGCATTTTGACCCTTTTTATATTTTATTTCTGCTTGATTGCTTAAAACAGACTTTTATTTACCTCCTATTAGCTTTCTTCTAGCAGAGGCTTGCTTTGTAATGGAGACACTTCAGATCTTTAAAAACCAAGGTTACTGTTTGGAAAAGGCATACTCTTGAACATTGAGCCCTACAGAGGTAATTGGACCACATAAGTATTCCCATTTAGTGAGAGAGTGTCTCTGCACAAGCCTTTTTTTTTTACCCTTGGTTGCTATGTAACTGTCAAAATATTCACTTAATGTCAGGAGAAAACATTTGGAGTTCTGCCAGAGTAAGTGGGTTCAATGCTCTTTGGGACTTCTGCACATTTAGGTGCTGGTCTTTGTAAATTATTGAAGTGCATCATCAACATCCAGCTGGGCTGTTTATTAAACTGTTGAGAAAAAAATGGAAATGCCAACTGCTTTCAGACCATGTCCTGACATTGTCTAACACAAACTCAGGTTGTTCCTGTTGTTATTGCCAACTTTCAGGCTTCTGTGCCAACACTGGCTAGCTGATAAGATGCATCAGCTATCTGGAAAGAGCTTTCATTTTTATGCACAATTTATCAAGAACTTTGTTGATTTAAAATAAATCACACTAATATACATCTAGCAGACTCATGAATATTTCAACTATAACTTTATTCATTGTTTATTTACATTAGAGAGCAGATTTTTAAGAGGAGCTTCACTAACTGGACAACAGAGTACCATCTATCACCTGTCAACAGAAGTAGTACATTACTTTATTCAACGTCTAGTTCAGTAGAACTGAGAAGCAGTGAACCTTTGGGGAAAAATTATTTCTGTTAATGTCTTCTTTGGTACTACACCTGTTGCACTGCTTTTTCCTGCGGGTTCCTTCATCTGCCAAGGATCACACCACAGAGTCAGAATTGGGTAGATAGAATAATAAAATGCGTCTTCTTTAGCATAAGTACCTTCAGCAAGATGTATTTTTAATGAGGTATTCGACAATAAAGATCCATATGAACGTTTAACTCTGTCAAAAGAACATTTTAAAAAAATATATGTTAAAGTATTAGATTTAATATTTATTTACAGGATAAAAATAACCCTCCCTTAATTTATATTATGGCTAATAAAAAGTAAAATGTTTATAAATGTAACTTTCTCAGTGTTCAGACTTTCAGTCTGACAACCTCTGGTGAGAGAGGTCATATGAACCATTTAAACATTTATGACCCTTTTTGTTAAAAGATTTAATAATCGTTCTGAACTGAAATCCTTGTAAAGTTAAAACAACGCCTAGCCCTGTAATTGTGGTCATTTTAATGAAACAGTGGGATGTGTTCTTCAAATCAGTGTGTCTGGGAGCAGTCGTTGGCTTCATTTAAAAAGGTTCCTCTTAACGTGAGGAATATTGCATCTGAAAGGGCTGTTTTCCATGTGACCAGCTGTACTGAACAAAACTTTAATCCAAGATTGGCTTCAGCTTAAAACGTTGATCTGAACCAAGTTGATGATGAAATTTGAGCACCAGGTTGTTTGTTTTTGAGGCTAATACGTCTTCATCTCTGGTATTTTAGGGGTTGCCGTGTTTGCTTGGAAGGGAGAATCTGAGGATGACTTCTGGTGGTGTATTGACCGCTGTGTCAACACTGAGGGCTGGCAGCCCAACATGGTTTGTTTAAAAAAAACAATTCTTATCCCCTTATGTATCGCAGGTCTGGTAATAATATATAGAGCAATATTAGAAGTGGTTGCCTAAAGTTGCCCGGAAACAGGGAAGAAAAAGCAGTTTGTAAATATTTCAAACTTTTTCTTAAATTCTACATGGAAAAAAATCTAAAATGCTTGGGTCTATGGATGTGGAAATAAATCTGCTTTTAAATCTCCATTAGATCCTTGATGATGGTGGCGACCTGACACACTGGGTGTACAAGAAATATCCAAATGTCTTCAAAAAGATCAGAGGCATTGTGGAGGAGAGCGTTACTGGGGTTCACAGGTAATCTGGGTTTAAGCAGATGTGAATTTTATGAACTCATTTACATTTAAGGAAACATGTTTTCCCATCTTCACATCTAGGTTATATCAGCTTTCTAAAGCAGGAAAGCTGTGTGTTCCAGCCATGAATGTTAACGACTCTGTGACAAAGCAGAAGTTTGACAACCTGTACTGTTGCAGGGAGTCTATCTTAGATGGGTGAGTAAACTCTGCTTTGGTATTTTACTGCTGGAAAAAAACAGGAAGATTTGGTTGATGGATACATTTACTGTGTTTTCTGGACTAAGCTGCTGTTTTATGTCTCATCATACAGTAGTCTGTGCTTTAACATGGTCAGCATGTTGTAGAGCTGGATTAAACCACTCACTCATCACTGTTTCTGTCTTTGTGCAAAAGCGAATTTTGTCCCGAAAATAACACTCATCCAGATACAACAAAAATGTTTATTTTTTGCCAAATAGGAAATATGCCTTTTAAAAATAATTTTAGATTGATTTTGATATAATTATTAGCTATGGATTATGTTAAATAATATTCTGTTGCAATATATACATTTTTCGTCTCTAATCTCTTTAGCCTGAAGAGGACCACAGATGTGATGTTTGGAGGCAAACAGGTGGTGGTATGTGGTTATGGCGAGGTGAGAAACATTTAGCAATATCAAGAGAAAGTCTGATTTAATGCTGTAAAACAAAAAATGAATAAAAAGAGTTTTATCAGTTATGTTTTAATGTATTGATGTCTAAATTGTCCATGTTTGCCTGATTTGGTTTTAATGCAGGTTGGAAAAGGTTGTTCTGCAGCCCTGAAAGCTTTGGGAGCCGTTGTCTATGTTACAGAGATTGATCCCATCTGTGCCCTGCAGGCCTGGTGAGGAGATGATGAATTTAAATGATCACTATGCTAAATGTGGTGACATACTGCGGATACATTGGCAGACTGCATCATTATTAATGGATATTGAATAAGCATTAAAAAGAGAAAAAATATATTTCACTGGTTTGATCAGACATTTATAAACTTGTTCAATGCAATCGTCTAATTTATTTTGAGATATTTTATGTATTTAAATCAAATTTTAAACAGGTGCTCAATTTAAATGTCCGATGATAAGTTTCACATAAAGCACCCATTTGTTGCAGGGATCCGCAAGCTTATTAAATAATCCCTGATGTCTCTTTCACCTTTTATGCTTTTAACATAGTTGGAACTAAAGCAGAATGTTTGCTTTTTCAGGCACAGACCTGGTTCTACAGCATACATTTGAAAAGGATTTAGGCCAGAGCCTTGAGGAGTTATGATGGATGTTTGGGATCATTGGCTTGTTGGAACATCAGATGTTGTCAATTTCTTCTCTCTGACCCAAACTCTCCTTTTCAGATAAAAGAAAATTGGGTATAATATTCAAGAACTGCCCGTGGTTAAGCACAACAATAACTGGACAATACTGGGGCATCATGGAAACCATCTACACCTAGTTTAAGATAGATTCAGAGGGTGGTGGTCAAGAAAGAAGGTTCACCGCAAAGCCAGATTCTTTATGGAGAAAATGTTCTGATACAATCTTAGTTTGCTTTATTAAGCAATAGTTAAATAGATGAATCTTTATACTCATAAACATATGTTAAAGATGGTGGTGGTAGCTAATGCTGAGAGACTTAGACAACATTTATTGTCGAAGTACAGTGTAGTTGAAAATAATGCATTGCTCAATGAAAAGGGAAGACTGTCTCAACTCCACTTCTATGAAGGTAGACTGGGGAAACTTGGACACTGTCAGGTGTTCCAACTGTACATGGATCCCAAACATATAGTATAGTAGCTACTTTCTTCATTCGAGTAGTTTGTGCATCTCTGGGGTGTAAAATTACATGGCAGCTTTAGTCAAAGTTGCAAGGTTACCACTGTCAAGGAAAATAAACCAAAGGACTCTTACTATCTCCACTCTGCAAACCTACATGTGACAAGGTGGTTACATGACAACATCACTGGGGGTCTTATGTTAACATGTTGTCATAAGATGCTCAACCAGTGCATCAACAAAAGTGATCATCTGATGCCTTCAGGAGAAATTAAATAGAACTTTCCTTCAAGCAGCATTTAGACAGTTTTTATATAAAGTCTGTTTTATGCACATTTTTTACATCTGCATTTTTTTCTTACATTTTTTATTGAATTTATTTAGTTTCACATTTTCTTTAACTGGTTTATAACATTTTTAATAACATCTACTAAATGTCCTTTCTTGCTGTTTCCACTAGCATGGATGGATTCAGGGTCGTGAAGCTGAATGAGGTCATTCGCCTGGTTGATGTCATCATCACATGCACTGGTAACCCAGCGTAAAGCCATACTGAGAATGAACAGATACAGGGTTATATAATCTGTGCTTTTTAATCTATTAAGAGACCTTTCAGGTCCTGGTTTTCTGCACTGCTCCATGTTGAACTGTGCTGCTCTTTAGTAGATGATGGCTGCATTAAAAATGTCTCTCTTCTAATCTTTGGACAGGGAATAAAAATGTGGTTACCAGGGACCAGCTTGATCGAATGAAAAATGGCTGTATTGTGTGCAACATGGGCCACTCTAACACTGAGATAGATGTGGTAAAACAATCAGATTTTAAAATCTATTTAAGTGACTTCTAGAGATCTTTGCAGGATTGTGCAAAAGATGACTGTGACCTGTGTTTTTAATTCTTCTAGGCCAGTCTAAGGACTCCCGAGCTGACTTGGGAACGAGTCCGCTCTCAGGTGGATCATGTCATTTGGCCTGATGGGAAACGGGTCATCCTCCTGGCTGAGGTAACTACATCTATCTTACACCTTATAGCTACAAATCGTAATGAATTCGATGCAGGTTTAGGAATAATGTCCTTATAAATTACATTATTTTCTTTTTTTGTTAAGAATGTTTGTGGGTGTTTATTTGACTAGGATGTTTTATAAATCTGGCCTCAGATAAAGGTCTGTCTTGCTCCTTTAGTTTTTCTTTCAAATTAATCTCTTCTAAATGATGTAGGTGATAAATGACCCTTCCTTCTCCTTTTAATAACATGTTTTTGTGTTTGACAGGGACGCCTCCTGAACCTTAGTTGTTCAACCGTTCCTACCTTTGTCCTTTCCATCACAGCAACCACTCAGGTGAAATGGCTGTAAAGCTGCGCTGTATTTATGTTTCTGCTCCAATTTGGTATGATTGCCAACATGCTTTTCCATTTTCTGCAATCATAGCAGATTATTTCTTGACCTGACCTGAAAATGACAGAGTTAGTGGGTCACTAAGTTATGTCTACTTTTATATAATCTGCTGCTTTACTTGTTTTTATTAAACTCAAGAATTGGTGTCTTTTATTTTGGTTTTTATCATGTGTTAGTAATAGCCTTTTCTGTTTTCCAGGCCTTGGCGCTCATAGAGTTATATAATGCTCCAGAGGGACGGTACAAGCAAGATGTTTACTTGCTTCCCAAAAAAATGGGTAGGGATTTAAGGATTAAACAATGTTGTTTTACCCTTTCAAAGCTTGTCGGGGGAACTACTTAGCAGCACTAGGATAGGAACATATTAACCTTCCACTACAGATGTCTAACAAACAAATGAGTTAGACTCAGGTTTAATGGATTTGTTTTTGATATAAAGTAAATTGTTGTTTACGCATATATGCACAGCAAGGACCTTTTACAGGAATCAGGGTAGTTTTTTTAGGAGTCGATACTGTACCATGTGAATTTACTAGAATATAAACACCCTAGTAGGGAGACTGGAGGATAAGTGTTGCAAACAAATATATATATTTTATGCTTTTAACTATTTGTGTGTTTGAACAGTAACACACACAAGGCACTGTTTTTATGCTAGTTTACGGACCAGAGGAGGGCAGGGCTTCTGGTGTCTTGGCCTTCAGTGGGACCCCCCCATCAATTTCTACATCTTAACCCTTTGATGCCCAAATGGTTTATATATATATATATATATATATATATATATATATATATATATAAATTAGTAAATGTGCATACATGTAATAAGAGCCACAACATTGTTTCTTGGACCTTATTTTTCTTGACGTTTATGCTTTCTCAGTTGTTGGGTGTGTGGTAGAGGTTCTCTTGTCATAAAACTAATAGTTGCAGCAGATGCACTTTATCACTTTAAGGAAGTCACTGCAAAGCCCATGGGAAACTGTAGAATTCCATTGATGCAGAAAACACAGCTGTATCTGTCCCAAGGAGTAGTGGATGTTCAGAGCCTTCAAAGCCTTCTCTGCAGGCCTACAATCAATCCGAAACACTAACCTACATTCACAACCTAAACCTTTCTTTTTCTTATTTCCAAATGTATACATTTATTTAAAAAAATCAATTCTCTTAATTTTGTAGTATTTATCTTGGCTGCACTGCTTCAATTTCAAGAAAAACGTCAAGAAAAATAAGGTCCAACAAACGCTGCGGTTCTTATAATATACATATATATGCACATTTACTGGCCTGTAGTCAAAAACTATTTGTGGAACTCTTATTAGAGATATGATGACTTTAAAGTCTTCTGAATGTTTACAGTCTGTCTAATTTTTTTCATTGCTTTTTCAGATGAGTACGTTGCCAGTCTGCACCTGGCCACTTTTGATGCCCATCTGACAGAGCTCACTGATGAGCAGGCAAAGTACCTGGGTTTAAATAAAAATGGACCCTTTAAGCCAAACTATTACAGGTGCGTATTTACTATACACATTTCAAATAAAAAAAAACATGCAACTTACAACACTTCCTCTAATAAGCATACATTTTAGGAAGCAAATCTTTGGAAAACTAGGATGTAGCAAATGCCTCTTCTTGAAGCTAGCATTAAAACTTTAGTAATTTGACATTCAAAATAAGGTCATAAATAACTTGATATCAATACATTATATATTTTCCTCTCAAATGAACTTCTCTCTTATTGCTTTTTAAAATGTTTGATGAAGTAAAAGCCAAACCTCACCAAATGTATTTATTTAAACTTCTTTTTCCTTTTTGCTCCTACAGGTATTAGGCTGCCGGCACATAGAACACCTCTATATGGATCTGTATGTTTTTGATTAACCGTCCATCTGGCAAAAGATATTATTGTATAATCATATAAGTATAATGTATTTTACACTATTCACAGGATGCACAAGCTATATTTAGAAAGATTTTACCTGCTGCTTCCTTTAGCTGACGCACGTGGCACTTAATCGGCTATAAAAAGGTTAATGTAATAATAACAGCACCCAGATGTCTAAAAGAAAATTTATTGAATGTGTTTCCTTACCTGCTGAATCATGTCTGATAGCTTTTTCGGTAAACAGTGCCAAATGACAGCCAGAGTAAAGGGTTTGTATTAATGAAGAGGGAAAAATAGAATTAAGATAAATATGTTGTCATTTGTATATGATTACTGTATGAGATGTAATTAGGAAAGAAGCATTCATAGAATGCACCAATTAACAGCTCCCAGTTATTCTCTTAGCTGGATGCTGGATTTTTGTTGTAATGTTGATGCAGAATGGCTGTGAAACCATGTTTGGATGTGGGCTATCTTTATGATGAGTGGCGTTGATTTTTTTTTTTTTTTTTGCTGAAAGTGGACCAAGTGTGAGTTAAATGTCCTGTTGCTGGACTTATTTTTTTTTAAGTTGCCTAGTAAGAGGCTTTATTATGATAACGAGAATGGTTCGCTTACAGGGTGAGCCATAGCGACTGAAATCAATCCTTTATTTACACAGGTTGTTTTGAGTACTTCTACCACCTGATGGCCAAATATAGCTCAGTGCTGCTTTAATGTTTCTATGATACTATAAAACATGTATTCATAACAGACATTCCATTGAAAGGAGAAGAGGTATTCTGATCTTTAGTAATATTGCTACTAACACAGCTAACCTGAAGATCTGGGCAAAAAGTAACTTTGGTTCCTGTGTACCAGAACAGATAGGGTTTTCTTTTTTAATGTTTAAATGATAATGTTTTCACCACCTGAGGGCATTGGCATCATTTTTATATATTCTTCTTACAAGATAAATTTAATCTGATTTTCACTATAATGGTTAATCTCTGAATCCTTTTAAAATTCCCTTTTATAACATTACAAAAAAAAAACTATTTCTAGTGGTTTTAATACTTTTATGTTCCACTGACCTGATAAAAGTACAAGTCTTTTTGTTCAATTCTGAGTTCACAACAGATTTGAAGCGTTTATATTTTTCATTAGACTTGTAATTAGAAAGTTCTTATATTATGCACCAGATGTCTTTTTTTTTTAGTAATTTTTATATGCATGAAAGTTAAAAAAAGCTTATTTACAGCCAGTTTCAAACCAAAGCTTGCTTAATCCTTTTTGTCAGCAAATATCCTCTTATCATTTTTAGCCAGTTCAAAGCAGTATTTTGTGTAGCTTGAGAAAACCCAATAATAACCTTTTCCCCTCTATAACCAGATGCCATAATTTCTTGAACTTTAAAGCTGCAGAGTTTGGAGGCTGTTATGTTTAATATGTAGTTTCATGTTTTGGAAATCTTCTAAAATAAGATAAAATTACTGTAATGTAATGTCTTTAATAGCTCATAAGAAAACAGTTTTTCCCCATTGTTTTTTTTAGCTAACAGTTCCTACATGTTTGCACTGACAGTTTTAATGGCATCAAAGCCAGGGACACCCAGATAAATTGGAGAAAGCCAGGTCTGTAACCATTGTGGTTTATATTTACAGTGCTTGGTAACTAATTCAACACATGTTAAAGCTCTGACCTGAGGTAGAGACAGCTATGCACCCAAACCCTCATTATTTTGTCTTAAGGAGTTTGTTTAATAGTTTTTGGGGCTTTCTCATAAATCTATAATAGCAGAACATTATTTTACACACTATCAACATGTTGAATGTTTTTTTTATTGTATGTTTTTCCTCAGTTTTATTCTTTTAAGCAAATAAATATATTCTTGTTGAAGTTCTTGATAGTATATATATCTATATAGTATATATATCTATTTTTGCTTAATTATAATCACAATTAATGTGTTTTGACACAAATGAATGTGAAACCCAGCTACTGTCATTGTGGAGTCCCAATGTGATGTAACGGTAGAATGTTGTTTAATTTTAATGCTAGATCCCTAAATGATTTACCCTATATTTTAAATATTATCAGAGTTTAGGTTAAGCGCTTGACAAGATCTGTTTGGAAAATCTGAATTCTGTCCTCCATTTCTTTTAATAAATGTTTGACTGTTGAAAACTGCCTGCTTGGATTATTTCCCCACACACATTGTAAAAAAGGCTTTACTAAGTGTCCCCTAGTACACATTTTTTGTTATTGTAAAGTTAAAATTTGACAAGGCACTTCCAACTTAATGCTTTATTAATTTAAAGAACTATAATATACTTTATCAAAGTCGTACTGTTGTAAAATCTGTCAAGATGGTAACACTAGGATAGGGATAGAAATCGATATTGGATAAGTTGGTTTACTAAACTTAAAAAGGATTTTTTTTGGCTTTTCTAAAGTCATCTTTTTGAAATTTAGACACCTACTGCAGAAAGACACCAGGCCAGAAGTTGACCCAGAACTGGGAAGCTTCAAATTCCACAGTATTACTATCTTTTAAAAACTTTTAAAAATTTTTTATTTATTTATGTAGTTGTATTTTTAATATGTTTGTTTTGTGTATATATTTATATTCTAATTTGTTATTTATGAATTTTTGACAGTGGGTGACAAGACGTCACACATTGTGACCTCGATAGAAATGTTTTTTTTTAATAAACTTTATTATTTACAATACACAACAATACAAAACTGCATTGTGAACATATCACAAAACAACAAAAACCTTTGCCAGGGGGAGCATTAACAGAAAACGATAAAAGTATAATAAGAAATGACAAAATACTCTTGTTTAAAGAAAAACAGTACCAAAGGTGACAAAAATACCAGATGCCACAGTGAGTCAACACAATAAATTATCTAAAATTCCAATTTGATTGCAAGCCAATAAAGTTGTTTTTGCTTTTTTTATTTGTAGAAGGTCGAATTGTAAATATATGTTTAAATTCAATCAGAAAAACTGAAAAGTCAGGTTTTTTCTCAAAAATTTGCATTTATGAAGATGAAATTTAGCCTTAATAATTAAAAAATTGATAAGAAAACTCTTCGCATTCATTCTTTCATTTTGTTGAAAACCACCTCGATAGAAATGTTAGTACATTTTTCCAAGACACGCAAACGTCACAAACTAGTTCTCGTGAGTTTATTTTCATCTCGCGAGACTACACTGCGGCTGTAAATGAATTATGGAGGTCGGTGGGAATGGTGGTGGGCTTCCTGTAAACAATAAACAGAAAGCGATGCTACCAAATAAAGGAGGCAGGGGCGAATTTCCTCGAACCCCAAGAAAAGACTCCGAGGTACGAAGGGAGACATGTTTATTGTCATGGTTTATCAGAGAGCAACGAACGAAGGCCTTTTCTCCTTTTGCCTCTGTAAAAACGGCTAGCTCGCTCGTTGTGGATTAACTCATAGTTTTAGGGTGAATATTGTAATATTAGAACCGATGGAAATAAAGGGTAGCTCTGTGTCGTTTAAGCAGTGTACTTTTGTTAAGCCATTGCCAATTAGTATTTCGGTTATACTTCTGAATACTTATTTTGCTGTTGCTAGCTAGCTTAAATTAGCCCATCAAAGGCCAGAGCTGCCTTTCTCTCTTTTATTGCATCAAACAAAGCGATGCAACTCTCTCTGTATAGATAAATATGTTATTTTAATAAAACACATCCTAATATGTCAGAGCAGGCGATAAAAGGAACCAGAAGGTCTGCAGAAGCCTGTCATTAGTTAATTTAAATGTCGTGTGACTAATAGGAAAATGGTCGTTAAGACCTATTTACCGGCAAGTTTTCGGTGTTTTTCCTTCCAAATGAGCCATTAACAACCTATAGAACCCATATAACCCCGGTCAGTTTATGAGACAGTGATGCCTAACTGTAAAAACAACACTGATTTAATTTTAATTTCGTCACGCTTATCCCACGTAAGGAGAATTAACCTAATAGTCAGGTTTTTGGAATGTGGGAGGAAGCCGTAGTACCCGGAGAGAACCCACGCATGCTCAGGGAGAACATGCAGAAAGACCCCGGGCCGGAATTCGAACCCCAGACCTTCTTGCTGCAAGGCAGCAGTGCCACCCACTGGGTCCACTGAGCAGCTTTTTGAAAATGATAAACATTGGAATCTGTGGACATAGTAGTTGGTTGCTCCTGTATAGCATTGCTGTAATATACTTTTGGTTTTTCTGTGATATTTTAGATATAATTGTTAAGCTTATATTAACACACTCATGGTGTGGTACTCCAGCTGCACTATATCACCTTTCTGTCTCATGCTGAATGGCTTTTAGGAATATGTGCTTTTTGCTGTCACACTTCTAAAGATGTTTTTAATGATTATGAGGTGTAGATCTTTTTTAAGTCTGTCTTAGGTCTTGGTCTTCTCTCTTGTATTTTTGTGGTTTGGTTGAATATCGAAAAACAAAGCTTGATCTGATCATTTCTGACCACAGCCCTATTATTCACAGGGTCTGTCTGAGTCTCCAGATCTTGAGTTTGAGTATTCTGATACAGATAAGTGGGCTGCGGAGCTGTCAGGTATGTATGCTCTTGATTTCTAACTGCCTCTTTTTATTTGATAGAACTCAAATCATAGTTTAATATACATGCATCGTGCTTCTTATTTTGATAATTATTTGCAAATATTTCAGAGCTTTACAGTTACACTGAAGGACCTGAGTTTGCTCTCAACAGAAAGTGCTTTGAAGAGGAGTTCAGAGCTCATGGTATGTAGTTTTTTCCATAAGCTACCATTGGAAGATTTAAGATATTTTTTTATAACATCATATTCTGTTTATCTGGACCTCAGTGTCGGATAAGAAGTGGACAGACCTTGATGCAGCTCAGCAAAGAGCTCACGCAATGCGTCTTTTGGATGGTCTGGAATTCATTGCTCGTGAGAAGAGGCTGAAAGTTGCCAGAGCCATTCTCTACATGGCTCAGGGTCAGTACAAGTCATGCAGTCATGCTCACTGTTTCATTTCATTCTTTTTTTTTCTTGTTTGTTTCACAGGAGTATATTTCTTTTTTTTTTTCTCAGGGACCTTTGCAGATTGCAGCTGTGAGGCTGAGGTCCAGTACTGGATGAGATATAACATCTTTCTCCTGCTGGATGTTGGAACCTTCTCTGCTCTTGTGGAACTTCTCAACATGGAGATTGAGTATGGCTAACATTTCTTAAGCTAACTTATGATTTTTCTATCCTCCGTCTCTCTGTATATCAGTCTGAATGGACCTGCTACACCTTCTACATGATCTGATAGGAGCAGAAAGGATTCATTCATCTAATATTTGATCTCTGTAGTGATATCAAATCCAAAGGGAAGTTTTGTACTTGCATTTTAAAACAGACTGGGAAGGGAGAACGAGCAATGGATACTTGACTCAGGCAAAATGTGGGATTTGGATGTTAAAAATGTATTTACAAAGCTTTGAATGGAGCAATGTTGAGCTGAGAACCATTTTCTGTTGTTCAGTAACAGTGCTGCCTGCAGTAGTGCGGTGAGAAAGCCGGCCATCTCGCTTGCTGACAGCACAGATCTCAGAGTGCTGCTCAATATTATGTATCTGATGGTGGAGACGATCCAGCAGGACGACCCAGCTGACAAACCTGAATGGAAAATCATAAAGGAAACCTTCCGAGCTGAATTGGGTAAACTTCTACAAAAAAAAAAAAGAAAGATGCAGTCATTTTAAGGTCATGTTGAGAATTTTATGTGAAACCTATTTGTAATTTGTTAACATGAAAATCCAGGTTCGCCTATTTTCAACAATGAGCCGATTTCTGTCATGCTCTTTGGAATGGTCACCAAGTTCTGCAGCGGCCATGCTCCACATTTTCCCATGAAGAAGGTGTTGCTTCTGCTTTGGAAGAGCATACTGGTGAGGGGGGTCAATTCACACTGCCTCTCTTGTATCCTTTTCGGTCTGGCATTGTGTTTTAAAATCTTTCCCCATCTGCTTCAGTTCACACTGGGAGGGTTTGAGCAGCTTCAGACCATAAAAATCCGCAAACGTCAGGAGCTGGGTCTCCCCCCTCTCCCAGAGGACAGCATCCGGGTCATCCGCAGCATGAGGGCAGCTTCTCCTCCGGCGTCAGCGTCTGATCTCATAGAACAGCAGCAGAAACGGGCTCGTCGAGAACACAAGGTTCCAAAAACTGATTTCAGTCTTCAGTTCACGGTCTATATCTGAGTTCTAGTTAAAATCAAAGAAAGCAAATGATTAGCAAATCCTTTTTAAAATTAGTTTTGTTTACTAGCTAAACGATTTAAACTCCATGCAGTAGTTTTTCAATAGATTTCTCCAGCATAAATTGAAACGTTATCCAATAACCAGATGTGTTGGAATACATTACATGTGAAATATTAGTTTTTGCATCAAAGCAATTTTTTATCACCACCAGAACTGCACACACTGAAGCTGCAATAGAGATTATTATTTATATTTCGTCTATCTAGACTAATGAATAAAATGCAAATCAGTCAAATCGAAAAGTTTTTTTATTTTAAATTCACTTTATGATTAATATCTGAGCCTCTGCTTACATTCTGCGTATATTATCTACAACTTCCTGGATGTTATTAATGTTTTTTTTTTTTACCTCAACATTTATTATGGCAGACTTAATATTGAGTGCATGTCTAATATTGATCCATTTATCTTTCCATGTTTCTGCTTCCATCAACCTTCCAATTAAACAACATAGATTCATCTGTCACTCCCCTACAGTTGCTATGATATTATAGTCTCCTCATTGTGTCTCGCTGCAGTTTAGTCAGGGTGTGATTATCTGCTTGGTTTTTGCTTAGGCCCTGATTAAACAGGACAACCTGGATGCTTTTAACGAGAAGGATCCCTATAAGGCTGACGACTCACGCGAGGACGAAGAAGATAACGACGACAATGACAACTCTTTGGAGCCAGAAACGTTCCCTCTGGAACGAGACGAGGTGATGCCTCCACCCATTCCTCATCCACCTTCGGAGAGGGTGTCCTTCCCTAAGGGGTTACCCTGGGCTCCCAAAGTCAGGTACGGCACAGTAAACCAAGATAGTTTGAGGGAAAACAATACGTCATTTATTGTTTTTATTTGTTTACAGCTGCTATACAGAGCTTGGATT